TTTGCTGCTCTTGTGTCAAGAACATTTAATTCTGAATAATTTAAACGAGAGTTACTTGACTGAATTAAATTGTTAGGAATGTTTGTAGTCTTCAAAAATAATTTCCAATACATCTTAACAACAAAATACTGATCGCTGATCGTTTGGTTATAATTCCGATATATTTCAGCTATGAATTCTTAAAATTTTTCTCGGCAAACACTAAATGCGATTAGAAAAAATCTATAATCATATCTTTAGTATACAAAGATTCATTTTTTCATATCAATTATTTATTGAAATGCCTATACAGTTTTCTTGTAATACATATTTGAATACTGCTTTCCAAATTTGTATCTTAATAAACTGACACTATTTTGAAATTTGGTACAGAAGCAATTTGGTAAAAGACACACTACTAATATTATTTAAAAAATAGTTTGAACAATTTTGCAGTATTATTCCTTTCTCGAGCTTCCAATTACTTCCAGAAAGTGTGACACTTTCATGTCCCTCTCCAACTCGAATATCCTATGAGAATTCATCGTGTTACACGTGAAAATTGAACGGCAATGTACTTATTCCCTGGGGCTTCTCTGTGGCAAATTAAGATTGAGTCAGCGGTCTATCTGTGATGACTCATGCTTTGTATCATGTAATTACCTAAACCACGATCTTAATTTACAACGGAAAATATGATATTTTTGTTTTACATGACATTCATGGCCAGACATGAAAATTTCCTATACAGGATGCTAAATGTTTTCTTTAAAAAAAAATTACATACATTGCTTGCAACTTCCTGAAAGTTTCTATTCCTTCATTCATAGAAAACATTAATAATTGTCTTATCTTAAAGAATTACAATATACTATTTGGAGCAAGGCACAGTTCATTATATTTTATATTTGGACAAGAAAATTTGATGAAATCAGGTCATTAATGAAAATATCCCGAGGATATCCTTACTTATACTTTTTTAGATTTATTTAAATTAGCTTAAAATAAAGTAAAAGTAAGAGAGCTAACAATAAAATACATAATTTTAATGAAGAAATTTGGTAAGCGAGTTGGTTGAGTAAAAGAAATTCACATTAATCTAGTCATATTGTAACAAAAGCCGGGACGCGTAGTAATTTATTTGTTAGTTCTCGGAACGGATGGGCCAAAAAGTAAAATATTTCAGTCAACACTAATTTATCGAAAGTTAAGAGTTTCAAGTTGGTAGCGTCGTCCTTCGGAGAAATTTAGCAATATTTTTAACAAGTTCACTTAGAGTCGGGGCCATGTGACAGTTATCTGTTGCATCTGGGAGGCGCCAGCGTAGAAACCCATATTTTTAATAACGCGCAAAATCACGAGAAGAGCGTAGCGGTTCCAAAGTAGAATTAAATCAAATTGTTAAATTGATAGTAATTGGAAAAGAAAGTAACAGATCAAGTAGCTGGTTTTTTGACGGATTTTCCAAGCAATAAGAGTAGATTAAATGAGATAGACTAATCCGTCCCGTATTTGCTACACGGAGTCACTAGAGGAAGGCTAAGGTTACTTGTAAGTCATATAATTATTTATATAAATGTAAATTCAGTCCATTAGACAATTATTAACATGGCATAGTTATGCCAAAGCATCCCGACATTCAGGGTTCCCGCCAATAAGATAAGAACAGAAACTTCTGGACCCAAGAAATGGGCGTGTCGAAGCGAAGTGTCGAATTCGGGAAAGATCTCGAAAAAGTCAGTTCTTCCTTATGTTCCACATAGAGCAGTCGACTTAGTTTTAGAGTCTCGGGCTAGTTAATTAAATTTAATAATGGATAATGGAGTTTTTTAAAAAGGCGAGATTTCTTATTTTGCAAAGTATTCAGAAAAACTTCGTTGAACGAAATGTAATTAGTTGCTTGTCCTAAGGCTCTATACATTAACCTGGCCCTAATAAATCATTAGGATCTTTGCTATTAATGCTTCTGAGCATTTTTCTTAGCTTAGTTTGCTAATTACATTAATTACGTTATGCAATATATAAATCTTACAACGCGCGCCGTAATTTAATAACTTCTACTACCTTTCAGTCAATTAAAGCTAATTTGTCTAGCGAAGCATTTCTAGAACTAGAAATCCCTTACTTCATGTTAATTAAACGTAGCAGCTAGTAGACGTATCAGGTACTATAATTTTGAAATTAACTTTAATTAAGGATCATAGAAAATATAGTTAAACTATTTCTTGTCTTTAAGAATAAGTTAGTAATAAGATAACTGTATACAAAGTAGTTTTCATAAAGTGTTCGATAGAAGTTTTGATAATAACATTCATCTGAAAATTTTATTTATTTTCTTTTAATCATCAAAAACTGTAACCCTAAACTTGAGTTGGCGTAAATATTAATGGAAATTGCAAAAAATGTAATGGAAAAATATATCAAGATGAAAGAACACAAAGTTTTTGCAGACCCAAAGGTATATGTCTGTGGACTTTGTAATCTAATACTTAAGGTGTTTTTTGTACAATTCATTGCCCTCAACGGCAAAGGATAAAAGTCAGAAACGACCTGAAAATTAGGGTATATCAGTCTAATTGTCGGGGAAAAATACTTTTAGCGAAGTGACGTTCTGATTTAGTTTTCAGCAACAATTAACATTATCTAAATACAAAAATTATTAAATATTAATATAACCTTTTTAACTTAATTATGGTTGATGACCTTCCAATGCACCTCATTTTTAATGTATAGTTAGTGTTTGAAGCAAAATCAAACTTTTTAAATAACAACCGCAATTATATTTTGTTGTTTTATTCAAATATGTAGTAGTTATTTCAACAAGTACGGGAAATCGGTACGAGATGATCTCTTATATAGAGTGTCATACCTCAGAGGTAGTTTCATTGGATGATAAATATTTTAGATTAAGATCAGGTTGTCTTACTGCAATTCTGCTTCCCAAAAAATTGCTAGGGGTCATCAAAAAAATGTTTTTGTTTCATATGGTTAAGGTATGTAACTCCGTCACTTTTCAAGGTACACTGCCGGCCCTTTGAAAGTGGACGATTTATTTTTCTAATGTGATGTGGGTTACTTCTTATGACAAGTTTCTATATGTCAGTGTCATTAGTAATTTGTTTGGTAATTCAAGATGCCGCGTTTAACGGAACCAGAAAAAGTGAGAGCTATAACTTTACTTCAGAATGATTGGTCATTGCGGATGATCTGCATGTATGCAAGAACAGCATATTTAAACTCAAAGAAAAATGGATTGCGAAGGGTCTCGTACGTTATGTTCACGGAGGTGGTCGTCGAAAAGTAACCACCACCTAAGAGTAAATCCTTTTGACATGGCAGTAGCGGCTTCCTTTGAGACGAATTTTCCTGGATCAGTGCGAACTGCAAGGAAGCGGGTGAAAGATTCGGAGCTGAAGAATTATGTGGCCGCAAATACAGTTGCTTCGACTCCCCAGTATAAAGAACAGAGGTTTTGCAAGACAATTTGTAGGAGGCCCGGAGAACTTCTGGGAGAATATTATATTTTCGGACGAAAAAAGTTTTCAGTCTTGCTCCGATGCTTCTGTCCGTGTCTACCCACCAGAGATTATAAGCTATTCGGAGCCTTATGTGAAACCCACACAGCGCAGCGATAGATTCTCCATTAACGTTTGGGCTTGGATAAGCCGCCAAAGTCTTGATGTTTGTTGTGACCATGCTGTATTCTCAGAATTTCACTTTCAAGCAGGATAATTGTGCAATTCACACCTCAAGAGTTGCGTCAGAATGGTTTATTGATAACAACATCGATGTTTTACCTTGGCCCTCAAAGTCCTGGGGATATAAGGTGAAAAAAATTTACGACAGAAACTTCCGTCCAGTTAACGTCGAAGAACTTTGGGAGACAATTGAAAACGGATGGGATAACATCACTGAGGATTATAACAAGAACATTAATTTTATCAATGCCATGCAAATTGCAGTGTTATAGATAAAAATGATGCTCGGACAAAATACTAACTTTACGAATCGTGTTTTTTTGGCGACGAAAAGTGTTTCATTTTTAGACCTCGTTGACGGCGAATGAATGTATAATATATTTCAGTATTGGAAAAATAAATAATTTGCTACTTAATTTGGATTTGCTTTGCTCACTAGAACTAGTATGATAGACACATATTAAATTTGACATAATGACAGCCGATTTGAACTTCACATTTTCAAGTCAGCTTCACAAAGGCTAATTATAGACAATTTGCTTATAAGAGTCGTCCATTTTCAAAGGGCCGGCACTGTACTTCTATAAAACTTGGAACACTTATTATTTTTACATAAACCGCAGAAACAATCTTCTGGATTTTGCAATATTTTTTGTTGATGAATTTTGAGAAAACCAAAATTCGATTTTCTATATCTGTTTTGGAAGTTAAAGTGATCTTTTTGTTAAATTTGTAGGAATGCATATTAAATATTTTTTACGATTTAGATACACCCCTATTCTAATGTCAACGTCTTAGAGTATGTTCCCACAATAAAACATTTGGAAGATATCTCAGCAGCCTTTGACTTAATTAAATTTCTAAATTAGTTTAGCGAAAAAAATTAAATTAGGTTATATTACTTCCAAATATTCAGCTCTCTGTAATTACGGAAAATAAATTAAAATCCATTCTGCTTTGAAACCAAAAATTTTGGAGACGTACAACAAGCCGGCCTACTTTTTTAATCAAATAAAGTGGCGTCACATAAACAAAATAAATATGGCAGGAAAACAAAAGACTGTTTCATGTTCAAGTTGTACTGCCCCAATTATTATTAAATCAATATTCTGTATAAAAGGGGCACTCTTTCCATTGATTTGATACTCTAGTTACAAATTAATTACTATTTACAGACCCTGTTAAAGTTAAATTTAAATGACTAGTTAATTTCCAAATTTTCTGCGTGACCTGTCAATAATTCAGTGTAGTAAATAATTAAATTCCATCATAATTTATTGCGTAAATACCCACGCGAACAAAAAATATATAATTACTTCTTACAGTTTTGGGGAAAGCACACAGGGGCTTGGTAGACTTCTCCGCAGGGGGAAAGGGCTTCTGATCTAAGACTTGCCACTCCTTCGCCTTCCTCTTCATGCTGTAATACCGATACATAACCACAGTCATGGCAATCATCAAAGCCGTTCCCGTCCCTAGGGCCGCCCCCATTAGTACCGCTGTACCAACCATGCTGGGCCTCCTGAAAACAATAAAGTTCACATAACTGTTCTTACTTTTTTAATATGGGTTTTAAGTAGATAAATAAGTTGCCTAATTATAGGCATTCTTAAGCAAAAGTACTGATCTTAGCAGCACCATTAAGTAATATTCTGAAAGTATTGTTTTCTGTTTTTTGTTTCGACATTACTTTTACTGCTCTCATCAAAATTTGTTGTTTCTTAACTGTCAGTGTCGCGCGTCTAAAAGTTGTGATCGACATCATGGCAAGTTTTACATGTTACCAATGCGAGAGTAATTGAACAGCCGTATTTTTTCACGTTAAAAAAGTCCATGTTCTGCTACAACAACCGCAAGTTTCTCGTTACACTCGATAAAGCATCGGATGTCATCTGATGCATCTATAACGTTTTTTTACCATTGAACCTAAACCGTTTCTAATTAAACCGATGAATTGGTGAACATTGGTCCATTGTCTGCTAAATCGTAACACCCTTCACAAAACCGCCATGATCTATCTGATTGTAGTTGTTTCATCAAAGTTTCGGTTTGATTCTTCAGATGAGTTGATGGAATTATAATTATGCCTTTAATAATGTCTTAACCCATTTTTACCCATTTTAACCCGTTTGAATTTAAAATAAGAATTGTAATGAACATTGTTAAAAGGTTGTATATCCCGTAATTTAATTAATAATAATTTTATTGTCAATGTATTTTTAATTGTAGACAAATAGGAAATAAGAGTATTGGAAAATGCTACTATTAAATAGATAGTAAAATATCAACAATTATAATTTTTAATAACAGTTTTGCTCTTTGTTTTACCATTGTCAAGTGACACATGAAGAGTGATAATCCCAACCTCAACAATCAATGTTGTTTCCCCTGTTTCCTTCAACATTCCATCAATTTTGGCACTCAACAGCCCTAACGTCATGAGTCCACCTGGGTGCAATGAGAAACTCTCAGCATGATTATCCTTTACGTGGATAGTACATACAGAATTAATGTCCCAAGGGGAATACGCCCCATACCATTAGCAGAAAAACAGGATACGGCATAACTTTGTCACTTAAACCAAATTATACCATATTTAAAGAAAAATAGTAACAAGTGCATAAATTGTTATTTAATTTTATGCAAAATTGTGTTCCTATTTTTTCATATGACCTAAATATTTATGAATTTGAAGTTAATTTAATAAAATGTATGTGGGGCATACAGTTGTACACATTAAGGATAGGTATGTTCCCGTATACAAAAGGTTATATCGATCCAGTATAATTCACAATATGTTCACATTCTTTTGTTAAGTAAAGTACCGATTCTAAGATAAATGTGTAATGTTACTTTTTGCGTCTTATAGTTTAATACAACAAGAGTTATACTTAAAAAAGTTGTTCCTACTTTTTCAAACGCCTTTCATGGAAGAATGGGGTGTGCCCATATCTGATAAATATTGTTGTTCTTCTATAGACTTTAAGTAAATAGTATATTGCGTAATAAGTGTTGTAAAAAGCATTTTACCTACGACCACTACTGTAAGTACTTAAGAACACACTGTCTGCGATCAATGTAAGATTCCTATTACGTACGGTAAAAAAACGTACAGTTTTCCTAGCAACTGCCTAGCAACGGCCAATACAATCTGTTTGTATTGACCGTTGCTAGGCGGTTACTAGGAAAACTGTGCGTTTTTTTTACCAAGCTGTGCGATTTTTTTACCGTACGACGTAATAGGAATCTTGCATTGATCGCAGACGGTATGTTTTTAAGTATTTAAATTAGTGGTCGTAGGTAAAGTATAGTACGTAATACGTGGTGTAATGCAATTACGCACTCATAGAATTACGCACTCGCCGCTACACGGTGTCGTGCGTNATTTTTTTACAGTACGTAATAGGAATCTTACATTGATCGCAGACGGTATGTTTTTTAGTATTTACAGCAGTGGTCGTAGGTAAAGTATAGTACGTAATACGTGGTGTATTGCAATTACGCATTCATAGAATTACACGCACTCGCCGCTACGCGGCGTCGTGCGTAACTTTTCCATTCGTGCGTAAAATGCTTTTTACAACACTTATTACGTAATATACTATTACGCACGAATGGAAAAGTTACGCACGACGCCGCGTAGCGATTTTTTTACCGTACGTAATAGGAATCTTACATTGATCGCAGACGGTGTGTTTTTAAGTATTTACAGTAGTGGTTGTAGGTAAAATACATTACTATTACTATACAGGGTGTCCCATAATTAATTAATCAAAATAAAGCATTTGGGCTCAACTTGTCTTAGCAAAATGTTACTCGTTTTCATTTTACATGGTGTTTCATTAACTTTCTTTACTGCAGATGCCAGTTATCACCCTTTATCAATCAATCAATCTTTATTCATCCAGTTGATCATGCAATGATATAGGTACAACTGATCGCAGATGGTGTGTTTTTAAGTATTTACAGTACTGGTCGTAGGTAAAATACATTACTATTACTATACAGGGTGTCCCATAATTAATTAATCAAAATAAAGCATTTGGGTTCAACTTGTCTTAGCAAAATGTTACTCGTTTTCATTCTACAGGGTGTTTCATTAACTTTCTTTGCTGCAGATGCCAGTTATCACCCTTTATCAATCAATCAATCAATCAATCTTTATTCATCCAGTTGATCATACAATGATATAGGATGTCAAACAAATTTTACAGACATTTTTTTTTAAAGAAAACTACGATAAAACTACACACAAAAAAGATATGTACAAAACAACACACTAAAATTCCAAATACTCCCTAACTGTTTTCTAAAAGAAAATTCCTTACAGCACACTTATATCTACTAAAACTTGTTAGTGATTTTATACTAGTTTCTAATTAATTATAAAGAACAGCACCAATATAATATGATCAGCTCTATACAATTCCAAACGATGGGCATCATATTGCAAATCAAGACCGTATCGCGTAAAATAGGTGTGATCGGCATTTTGGTTCCTAAAACTTGAAATATTTTTTTTTACAAAACAATAATTCTAAAATATAAATACAAGATAATCTTAAAATACGTTTTTACCTAAATATTTGTCTACAACATTCACGATAGTTAAGATGATACATTGAACGGATAGCCCATTTTTTCAGTATAAATATACGGTTTACAGAAGTATTATCACCTGCCCAAAAAATTACTCCATACCTAAGCTGAGACTGAAATTTTGAAAAATAAAAAGTTTTGACTACATTTATATTACATATTTTAGACAATCGATTTATAGCAAAGCAGCAAGTGGCGCACTTCTTACTAAGTTCATTTATGTGCATTTTCCAATTTAATGAAAAGTCTATGTTAATAACCAAAAGTTTAAAATTTGATACGTGCTGAATTGATGTTTTATCTAATTTTATAAAGGGACTACATGTATAGTTTGCTGGAATAGTATGAAACTGCATACAATAAGTCTTTTCATAATTTAACACTAACTTAGAATCTGTAAAATACTGACATAAATACTGTAAGTTTCAATTTAACTCGCTAATTGCTTTTTCAACAGATTTACTAGTTGACGCAATTGTAATGTCGTCAGCAAAAGCGTAGAAATAAGTAGATCTACAACTATTTATATCGTTAATGTATAACAAAAACAATAAGGGTCCAAGAACGCTACCCTGGGGTACACCCATATCAACATTTAAATCCGATGATCTAATAAGTACCATAAAATTCAACAAACTGTTTTCTACTCGTCAGATAACATCTTAATAACTTGTTGCATTGACATCCTTTTTAGTGGAATATCATGATCCACCCATCCATCCCATCCATCAAAAACTTTTGACAGATCCAAGAATACAGCTAATACACTATTTCCCCTATCCAAATTACCATATACATAATGCAAAAAATCCAGTAGTGCAGTGTTTGTTGAATGTTTTGCCCTAAAACCGTGCTGATTTGGAATAAGTATATTATACTGACCTAAAAAGCTTGTGATTCTCTTGGCAATAATTTTTTCAAATATCTTAGAAAATACCGATAACAGTGCAATTGGCCTGTAATTACATAAATCAGTCGCATCGCCTTTTTTCGGTAGACATACTATTTTGGAGACCATCAAGCATTTACGAACATTACCACCAAATTATAAAGTCCTTGCATCCATGAAAAGCATTATATACAACGAGAGAAATCGCTGCGAAGCCAAATTTAATTATAAGGTGTACTGCAAATAGAATATAACAAACCGCAAACGTTACGCTGCCATTGTATTCCAACAAATGAACCCCCTCAACGAAATCAAATATTTAGTTGGATGTCGTCGCGAATCACAGTGCAATGTGAAGAGGGAATGATAAAGCTCGGGTAATTTTTGTTGCAACGAACCCTGATCGCAAAATTTTTTAAGAGAGGGTTTGCTTTTTGGCTAATGCCTACATAAAATTACAATTTTTCTATTCCTTTGTTTCTGAGGCACATGAAATGATTACTTTTTTTTTGTAAAAAAATATGTTTTTATTTATATCTTCCAAATAAAATAAACGAGTTGACCAAATCAATTATAATTTAGTACAGGGTACTTCCTAATAATTCTGCAGGATTTGAATATGGCGATAATAAATGAAATAATTCGTGGGCAGAGATTCTAGGGAATTTTCTCAAGAATAATAGTATTTTATGAAAGTGTAAACTAATAAAAGTACTTTTACCTCTTTTCGAAAAACTGCACAGTTTTCGAGAATAGGTATTGCATAAATGTGTTTTTAAAACTATTCTTCACGGTATGGAGATGATAACACATCTCTCATTGAATTTTAAAATTCTTAGGATTTCATAAAGAACACATTATTAAAAAATGGGTTCAAATTGTTTCTAGTACAAAGAACTTATAATTTCACAGAATTTATAATATTTGTAATTATTAAGTATTTTTCACAGAATAGACTAACAGATATATTGTCGCATTCCTCTAAAAATTCCTTGAATTTAAATCTACATTTCAACAATAGGAT